CTTCTATCATCAAAGTTAGATTTAAATTACCCAAACAAACTTGTACACTTTTAAGAAGGTATGAATTTGAAGTTTGCTTATAAACTTATATCTTAGTATCTTGATGAAAAGCATCAAAACAAAAGTATCAAGAGCAACATGTGTAATAAATTATGATGTATGTTGTGGATTAAAAATTATTTTAAATGAAAAAAAGATAATATATATAAGATGCTTACAACTGCTTGGCAAATTGAAATTATTAATAAATGGTTTATAATTAAACAAAGTTTTTTTTAAATGAAATCATAAAGATACTTCCTTGATTTCTTGTATTAAGCCAGAAAAAACAAGATAGAAACCTATTTAATCTTTGAAAAAATCATCAAAGGACAGTTATAATAAAGATGGCTATCAATTCTTATTAGGTTTTCTTGACATAGTTTATAGTAAGGTGCACAATCCATAACAGAAAGGGCACATTGTTTTAACCTAAAATTGGGATGAAACCTCCAGCTTAATCTTTAATAATGCTCAGCAAAATTGTTTGTTTAATATTGCAGGTTGCATTCTAGAGTTGAAAAAAGTTGAATGAATATGCACAATTTGTTTCGAATCTAGAAAAATAGTGTAAATGGTGCTTATACAAAGTTTGTTACAGACAAACAGATCAAAAACTCTAAATATTAATTCTATTTTACAAATAGAATTAATATTTAGATCATTTGAGCTATGCCTTTTTTTATTTATTATTATTATTAAAGAAAAACCACATTGTAAAATTACAGGGAAAGTAATCATGGGAGAGATAACTTTATATCAGTTTATGTTTACTTTTTTATTTATCAATATTATTTTTAAAGAGTTTATCATTTTAGTATTACCAGTTTCACCATCCAAATTATTCCAATCATTACAAACTCAATTTATAAAAAACTCAATTTATAAAAAAGGCATATTTAGTAATACTTAATTAGTGGTAAAAGTTATTGGTTTTTGTTATAAAATTTTGTTGTAACCTTAGTGCTTAAGATTTTAGTGAAAATCATTTTGGTGAAGAAACTTGAAGTTTAGCTTGATATCCTAAATGTTATTAAATTGAAGTTTGAAAACAGGTTTTTAACATTTAGACTTGAAATATTTAGCCTTAAAAAGAAACATTCATTACATAAAAAATAATTTACTACTGTTTTCTTTACATTTATATCACGTGCTAATTTGGCAAAAACATGGTTACTGTTTTCTGTATGTCTGCTCTCTGAGTATATAGTCTCTAACCATACACAGAGTAGATATTTACTCTATTTTTAATTAATATTTTCAAAAATAAACTGTGATTTTAATTTAGAATGTACTTTTGTAAAATTTGTTAAATATTAATAAAGTGCTGAAAAGTTTTTTGTTAGCAGCTTGTGGATAAGTGTTTGTTAGAGCAACAATCACCAATTTATTATATTAAAGTTACAAAATTTTGAAAAAAAAAAACAACTATAGTTGTGTGGGATAGTAGTAGTAACAGCTTTTAAACATAATTATGCAGTTTAGAAAAAAATAAAACAAAGTTTAAATCTGGTTTAATTTTAAGGAATAAGGAATTCTTTGGTGTTTTGAAAATTTTGCATAATTATTAAAAAATTGTTTTTAATGTTCTTTTTAAAAAGTCTTTTAAAGACTTTTGAAAAACTTTGCATTTCCTATATATTAATTTTATTTGTACATCTTGTGATGGTTTAATAAAAATTTACTTCTATTTTTAAATAATTCATAAATTCAACTATAATGTTTGGATTCCATTTATATATAGATTAAAGAGAATTATTGCACAAACAGCATTGACAATAATAATTTTTTACAACATAGTAATTATCAAATAATGATTATTACTGTCAATGTTGTATGTGCAATAATTCTCTTTAAAACTCTGAAGACATACAGTAATTATCAACTTTATTTAGGGTAATTTCATGTAATTGAGTTGTCAATAGTTTAGGTTCCTTAAAAACATAAAAAATATATGAACCTGTAACTTTAGGAATTCTTAATCAATATTTTTAATAAGTTTACACAGAAAAATAGTTTATATCTTCAATACATTGTATTGAAAATATAAACGATTTTTGATTTCTACATGATTTATTAATTAATCAGAAATCTATTCGGTATAACATAATTTAGTAATTATTACTTCTGTTTATATTATTTATTGTTGCTGACTGGGTTTCATAACTTTGAAAGCAAAGTATTTCAACTGTTGTGTTTAAAAAAGAAGTTAAAATGCAAGTTATTTTAAAAAAAGTACAATATCTGCTAAAAAGAAAACAAGCAAACGCAAAAACAAAAACAGAAAAGATTAAAATAAACAAATATTACTCAAACATTTGAGTTAAAGTTTGTATTATTTTAGCAATCATTTTTTTAAATAATAAAATAGAAATATAAAGAAGTTTTCAATGACGACATTAAAGCTGCTCAATTAGAGTTTCTATTTCTTTTGATCCAGAAGATGTTGACAATCATTTAACAAAAGAAATGACATTCATTGTTGGCATCCAGCTAATATTATGTTGGTTTGGTTAATAGTACAATCGGATAATTTGGGTGCATGAACTTTACCTTAAAATTATCATTCCCTTTATCAATTTCAGAAATCACACTAAGTCAGTAAAGTGTGTCAACTTGTTTCAATGGTAACTTAATCTTGCGTTGTACTATAAAAATATAAATCTCTGTAAAATCTGACAGGACAATAGAATCATCAAAATTGATTGTCTCTTTGAGATGCTTTAGATGGCTTGGGTGCGATTTTGCAATAATTTAATAAAAAGTAATTTTATCAAGCTTTTCACGCAAGCTTTGAGAATTCATTTAATTAAGGATTCATTGCTAATAGTGCATTTCTATCTGTTGTTGTTCACTGTTTAAATTCAGCTAATGTCCAATTTTATTGCTGTCAGATGCTCCTGTAAAAAATTTTAATCAGCTTTTATGTTGGAACAACTATTTCATCTGTAAATCTGAAAATCAAACATATGATGCAGACAATTGTCTCTATGATTTTATGGTAAGTTTCAAGACCTACAGACCTTAACATCAATTTTGCATTTTGGTTTATTTTACACACAGACAGAGTTTACTTTTTGGACCAGCATGGATACACCTTTTAGGACTAAGATAAGAAGTAGATTTTGGAGAGTCCGGTTTGCGGTCTATGTACTTTATATTATATGCTGCATAGAGCTCTTTAAGGTTATCGAAAATCTGGTTTGAATCTCCTTCAGTACTTTAATGTTGTTTAGTGCAACAAGATCGTATTAGGTGACATCCAGAACAGTTTAAAGCTACTCAATAACTGCTTTTTTAACTTCCTTTATTTTTCTCATTTCATTTAAAAGCTTGTTAGAGGTATTGTGTTAATTAACTTTTAGAAGTGAAAAAAAATTTTTAGAACAAAATTATTCCTTAACATGAAATGTGCTGTATAACAATGATTTTGTTGGCTCCATAATTCTGTTCTTTAAGAATTTTATGCTCCATAACTTGGATGCTTCATAATTCAATAAATCAAAATTTAAATATAGTGCAAATGATGGCTGCAAAGATTCTATTTTATTTTTTTTTACTTTCATAATCCAAGTTTGAGAAATAAAAAATGTCTAATTACCTTTTTTAGCTTTGTTAATAATAAATAAAAAAACAACTCTTTTTTTATAATAAGTTATTTTTAGAACCCTTTCTTAACCCTTTAACTCCAAAACATGAGACAAGCAAGTGAGATAAACAAAATGTGAATAAACATAGCAACTGCATGGTGAATCAAGTTAAGTGCAATTTTACCAGAGATGTAATAAGGATCAAAAATTTTTTACTTAAAACAAGTGCTTTACAACTACGTCACTGATCAGATTTATGCAACTTTCAATATTTTGCAATGTTCATTCTGCAAAATGATGTTTAGACTAAATATTGTTATACTTTTTTTAATATTTGGATAGCATTATATCTTTTTTTTTTTTTACATGAAACCTTTTTTGAACTTATTACAGTTAAACAACTCTAAAAAGGTCTGAAATTTTTTACTTGATAGATTTTACTCAAGGGCAAACTATAAATGTCCAGATTAGCCTACTTCAATGTTAAATTTGATGAACTAAAAAATATCCTTAGAAAATATTTTCACCATTCAGTTCACCATCTAATGAACTAATAAGTATGCTGGAAAAATATGTCTGTGATTTATATGAGGCTAAACAAGAAGAATTTTTTGGTTAAAACTATAGGACTCTTTCTATACACATTAAAGCCTTGACATTAATTAACCAGTTATTGGGACCATAAAAATCTGCTCTTCAAAATACACTTTTCAAAATTTACTTACTGAATGTGTATAACAATTTTTTTTTTCAAAGCTTTTTCTGCAACAGATGCCGTCCTATATCTTTTCTACATTTGCGGATTTAGCACCTTCAAAGATGGCCAGGTACCAAATTTTAGCCCATTAAAACTTAAATAATTCATCAAAAAGTACCATTACAACATCCATAATTGTTGTATTGTATGATGTTAGGTACTTAAAATTCACACTTTTTCATGTTCCATTGATAGGTACCACTGGGTAAAATTTGAAAAAAATCTGAAAGATGGCTAAAAATATTTTGTTTTACTTTTACATAGAATTACCTTTTAAAAATTTTGCTTAATTTCGATCCACTGTTAAATAGATAATTTTATTCAATGTTTTTTTAAACAATCTAAAATTTATTTAAAATTGATTAAAGTTATACACTTCAATCATTACTGTGTTAAAAATGATGTAAATAAACATTGCAATTTTTTCAGGAGAATAAGTCCAGAGTTATTAATTAAAAAATATTTCCAGCAATTAACATCAGGTTGCGGCAGAAAAAATTGCTCTAATAAGAAATGTGTTTCTGGAGGATTTGTTGCAATGAATTGTGAAGATGCTGCTGTAATGGCACTTAAATGCATAATTGAAAAAGCACAAATTTGTGAAGATCAAGTTGGTAATAATTTTTTGTATTTTTTTATTTAAGTTTATTCAAATGACCTTTTGCTTTTTAATTAAACAGTGATGCTCAACTTTTTTTAGGATCTCAAAAAATTTTTCTGAATTATTGTTAGTTTTTTCTAATAATATTTTAATTTCTACATGAAAATAAAAAAGGAACAAGGTTTGATAAAAGCAAAAAAACTTTGAACTGAGGACAAAAAGTCTTGGAAATTAATTAATATTAACTTTTTGTAAAGTAACTTAAACATAAATTTTTGTGTTATCAAAAATTATACAAAATCTTAGGTAGGTCTATGCTTTATGAGAAGCTTTATGATAATTGAGCATATATAATGATAATTAAGCATATTAACTTACATATTAAATAGTATAACTAACTATTTAATATGTAACAGAAGGTTAACAGAAAATTAAAGAAATTGTAAATTCTATAACTCAAAAAAGCATTGAAAACAAGAAAAAATTACAAAGTAAAGAAAAAACTAGATAAATAAATGTTTGAAAAGTCATAGAAGACTGAGTTTTGGCTTATCAAATACAAGATAAAAGCTTTATAAATCAGCAACCATGCTAGTATTTTTTTTCTTTTAGTTATTCACCACCCCAAGGCCGAGAAGGCCACTACAGTCGAGAAGGCTTTTTTTTTTCCTTTTTTTTTTTGTGCGTGGTTACAACCCTCTTTCAACTCTATAACTTCGAAACACGAAACTTGATGAACAAGGCCGCTGCGCGGAGAAACAAGTTGAGCATGGTACTACCATGGATGTGGTGGGGATCAAACTCGGAACTTCTCGCTTTTGAGACGAGCGCTCTACCACTACATCACTACAACATTTGTAGAAGGGAGGAGACACCACTTTATCACAATGTGATAAAGACTCAATCTTAGTTTAACTAGCCATTCCCTTACTGCTTCCATTTAGTTCATTCTTTTATTTCAAATCAGCATTAGAATGAGAGAATCAAAGTTTATATTAATTTTCAGAGAGTTGTTGGATTGATTGATTGCATTGATTATCAGAAAGTTGTTTTTGGATTTATTGATTATCAGAGAGTTGTTGTTAGATTGATTGGGTTGATTATCAGAGAGTTGTTTGGATTGATTAGATTGATTATCAGAGAGTTGTTTAGATTGATTGGATTGATTATCATGGAGTTGTTGTTGGATTTATTGGATTTATTATTAGAAAGTTTTTGGACTCAAGATATGATACTTCTTTTATCAAAGACCTAATAATAGTAAGAAGATTGATTTAATGATTATTAAAAGGATCAAACCAATTTTCAGAGTATTTTAAAATGAAAACTACATTTTCTATCAGGAAAACAAGATTTAATTAAGTGTTTGTTTAATAGTTTTCTATCACTGAAACAAGATTCATTTGACTGCTTGTTTAATAGTTTTTGTAAGAACAGTTTTTCAACTGTTTTTCTGAGATAACAGGAAGATTCATTGTTGGTCACTGTTACAAATTTTATTAAAATTTCTTCAACTTCTAAGATAAAATATGAGATTTATTAATCTAAGAATAATTATCATCAGACAATAGTTTTTTGCAAAAAAAAATAAAACCATATTTTTTATTTTAAAAAAAATACAACCATGTTTTGATCTATAAAGATTTTATTCCTTGTGATTATTTTTAAAAAACTTTTAAAAGCATTTCTGGCTTGGACAGGAATGACGTGCGATTACATGCTGTAACTGACCACGCTTATAATTTTTTTTCTTTACAATTTGACTGTGACAGTTTTGAAATTGTTATGTTATGAATAACTTTTAATCGTTGATCTTTTTTAAAGTTTTTATTTTACAGAAAAGCTTTAAATAAAATAAAAAATTAATTAAAATGATTGTTTAAAATAAATGGATAAATTAACAAATAATGTTATATATATTTGTGTAATGTTATATATATTTGTGTAAGTTAACAAATAATGTTATATATATATATATATTTTTATGTAGGCATGTATTTTTATATATATATCTATCTCTTATTTTTTATAAATATAATCTACCTCTTTATTATTTATTAATTTTTTATATATATATTATGTATAAGTATATGATAAATTTAAATGTTTGAAACTATTTTTCCATGTCTTTCTAAAAGTCTTTTGTAAGATAATTTTTTCAGTTTACTTAAAATTATGAATAAGTTAAATAAAATCTTCATTTCAATGGGATGATTTAATTATTATTTTTTTGTTTCTATTTTTACAAAGAGTTGTTTAAAACTTTTTTTTTTTATCTTGATTAATTAAACAAAGCATGAAGTGATTAAAAATTACTATTTTAAATAGACTACAATATTTTGTTAAACATTGATTTTTTTTTTTTTTTGCAACTTTTTAGAAAAAAGAAATGTTTACACACTTTAAAGATAATATAAGACTTTTTAATAATTAAAATAAAATTTGTTCATTCATTAAACAATCATTAGAAGTAATTTGTAAATGCGTTTTGCGAATTTTAAAAAATGTTTAAAAAGTTTTAAAGTAATTTATTTTAAAAGCAATTAAAAACGTAACAAAAAGTAAAAGTAACTCGTAACTTTGCAACTTTGAGTTTAATTTTTTGAGTTTTATTTTACTGCTTATATATTTTTTTCGTAAGGAATTGTTTTCTTTTTTCATTATTATTTTTTGATTCCTAGTTTAAGTTTAGCTACCGTTTCTTTTTTTAGTGCATTTCTAAAATGTTTAAAAATCATCTAAACATCTAAATGTCATGGTCAAGTTGTCAAAAAATATAATCATTTTCATGGTCAGCAATAGCGCTTGATCACATGCCATTCCTGTCTAAGCCAGGCATGAAGGCTCAGACAGAAATAATGTGTTTTAAATTAAACACATTTTAACTTGCTTTAACTGATTCATGATCAAATGGTAGTAATTAAAAAAATATTCACTTTTTTTTATTAAGTTATTTATTTCTAATTAAATAGTTTTTTATTATTTCTATTTTAGTAGTATACTTTAATTAACTTTTTTCTGTTTTTTTTTTTTTCGAAAAAAAAAAAAAAAAAATACTGAACTGATAATCAAACATTTTATTCCAAATTTAAACAAAGAAGAAATTATAAGAAATTATAATGGAAAAAAGGTTTCATTTAAATTCTAAATGTTTCATTTAAATTATAACGGAAAAAATGTTTTATTTAAATTCTAAAAGGAATGAAAATAAATTATTAAAATAAAAACAGTAAAACTTTTTTATTAATTCTGATTTATGCAATTTGTTTAATGCATTGTTGTAAAAGACTCTATTAGAAATAATTGGCTTTTACTGTGAAAATGGATTAGTTTTTTTTTTTTTTTTTTTTTTTTTTTTTTAAGTAGTATATATTTTGCTGTTTAGTAACATATGTTACATAAAAGTTTCACGATTATAATATCAATATAACAATTTTAAATAACACTCAAAAAAGTTTAGGGATGAATACCACCTCAATCTTTTCATAGAGCCCCGTAATATAAATAAATGTTTTTTTTTTGAAAATAATTCCATATCTTAGGACCAATAAGTGCTATTAAACATTTTGTATATTTGTTAATTTTTTTTTTGGCAATTTAAAGAAGTTCAATTTGTTCTTAAAAAATAATTTTAATTTATATTTGTTTCAAACTTACAAATAAAATTGGCTGGAGTGAGGTTATTTATATTATGTACAATATAGTATTTTATGCATAAAATATATGATTATAATATTTATGCACAAAAACTAAGTGTTGATAAGTATTTATTTTATAAACATTCAACATTTTGATGTCTCTCATTAAAGGTTTAGTATGTTCCCCTCGTTTTTTCCTGTATATATATAACTCTACATTTCTGTTTTTGTACAGTAAGTATTTTTTTAAGTTTTGTAGGTTGTGTATAATATAAATAAAGAGAAGTATATTAATTTCAGACAGTTTGTTTACATAATATAGGAGAGCCAAGATAAATGTTTGTCAATGAGTATTTCTAAAAACTTTATAAAGTTTTCCTGTTTTATTATATATCATTTAAAAATAAATCTGGTAATTTAAGGGGAAGATTTTCTTCTTGAATTTTTTTAATAAAATACTTTGTTTTTTTTATTGTTTAACGAAAGTTTATTTGCTGTAAATCAATTATTTATCTTATTTAATTCAAAGTTTATGTCAGCATAAAGCTGCTTAATATTATCGTTGGAAAGTAATATATTGTATATATTAATATTATCGTTGGAAAGTAATATATAGTAATATAAAGTATCATGCCTTACCGGGAAGCGTGTGTGGTTGCACGCTTTGTTAGTTTATGCTTAAAGTAATTTTTTTAGACAACATATATAGTGTTTTAAGAATTTGTGGCAAAATAAAGCTATAAGAAACTAGAGAGAATAAAACAGCAATACTCAAAGAAAAGAACTGAAGACTATATGAAATAGAAAATCTAAATAAAATAAGCTAAAAAAATTGAATATTAAAAAAATAAAAATGTTGTCAAAAAAATAATATACCTAAATATTTTACTATTTTTGTTTTCTTATTTTTAGGGCATTGTAGTAGTAAAAAGTCTAAAGTAGATAAGAATATAACAGGCCTTGTGATGAATAAAAGCTGCGCGACGCATAAGAACAATGTGATTTTTGACGTCATTAAATTCTTTTTATTTGCTTTTCATATTTATTGACATTAACATTATTTTTAAAAAGTCAGCGAGTAATAAACTGGAAATTTTAATATTGTTCAATTAAAAACTTTGCAATAGCTAATGTTTTTACCAGCGATTTTATATAATATTTTTTTATTTATTTATTTTTATTTGTTTTCATAAAGCGGTTTTCATAAGCACAATCACTCGTATTACTAAAAAACTTTAACAAATGTTTGGAATAGATTTTTGGAATGTTTACAAATGTATTTTGTAAACATTCCAAAAATCGCTTATTTGTTTTAATGTAAACATTAAAACAAATAAGCGATTGTTATTATTTAAGTAATTTTTTTTGAGTTACT